CTGCCCACGGCTGCAGCCGAGGAGACGCCTCTAAGACAGGCGCCGTTAGTGTAGATACTGCAAGCGAAGAAGCAGAATGCAGCAACGCTGCTGCTGCGATGCTGCTGCTGCTGCTAACTCCAGCCTCCGCCAGCAGCAGCAGAGACACCCCAACAGGTCCTGCATGCACCTTCGCTGCTGCAGCACGAGCTGCTTCTGCTGCTGCTGTTGCTGCTGCTGCTGCTGCTTCTGGGCTTGTTGCTGTTGTTACTGCTGTTGCTGCTGCTGCTGATCCTTGCAGCTGAGGCAGCAGCAAGCCCCAGTGCTGCTGCTGCACAGCCTGAACTCGGCGTGCGTAAGCAGCAGCAGCAGCAGGAGCAGCAGCAGCAACGCTGGTTGGCAGCAGTAGATTAAAGATATCAGCAGACACATCTTTGTCTCCTGCTGCTGCTTGTCTTGCTGCTTCACGTAGGGGCCCCACACCCGCAGCAGCAGCAAGTGCTGCTGCTCTGCTGCTGCTAAACCAAACAGCAACATCTCCCCATGACTTGAACGGCCGCAAACCCTCAGGTAAAGGAGACAGCTCTGCGTCATACAAATAATCCGCTGCTGCTGCTGCTGCTGCTGCTGCTGTAGCACCTTCGTTGGCTGTTGCTGTTGTCGCTGCAGCACCACATGCAGACGCATGCAAACAAAAGACGCTGGGGGTTGTTGCTGCTTCTGCTGCTGTTGCTGCTGCTACTGCTGCTGTTGTTGCTGCTGCTACTGCTGCTGCTTGCTGTTTAGAGGAGACAGTGAAGAGACAGAAGGAGACAGATATAAAGAAAAACAAACAAACAAACAAACAAACAAACAAAGACAGAGGCAAGCATAAACAACACAGGCAGATAAAGAGAGAGACAGAGAACAAGAGAGAGATAAACAAATTAAAAACAAAATATATATATTTATTCGTACTGCAGCAAATGTCAAGAGGAGATCGCCCCTTCAGCCTTCCTACTGTCGCTCTGTTGCTGCTGCAGCAAAACAGCAAATTGAAACAGCGCCATGCTGCTGCTGCTGCTGCTGCTGTTGCTGGTGCTGCTGCTGTTGCTGCTGCTCCTGTTGATGGCGATGCTGCTGTTGCTGCTGTTGATGGTGTTGATGGCGTTGCTGATGGTGTTGTTGCTGGTTCTGCTGCTGCTGCTGCTGCTGCTGCTGGTTCTGCTGCTGCTGCTGCTGCTGCTCCTTGTGCATGCAAACTGCAGCAGAAAGCTTCAAGGACTGCTGTTGCTGCTGCTACGGCAAGGAGGTGCCCTGATAAATAAATAAAACAAACAAAAAACAGCAGCAGAAACACCCCTACAAATCTAATAAACGCATGCATGCATGCATGCATGCATGCATGCAAATAATTCAGTAATCAGTGCATGCATGCATTTAAACAACAGCAGGAACAGCACCATATCTAATTAATTAATTAATTAATTAATTAATTAATTAATTAATTAATTAATTAATTAATTAATTGCATGGATTTGATGATGCTGTTGCTGGTGGGGCTTTAATAGGTGCATGCATTAATTAATAAATTAAATTAATTAAGTAAAATAAAGTAAAGTACTTAGTTAAATTAATTAATTAAATTAAATTGCTAATAAAAAGATATTATTTTGTTTGTCTTACATTCTGTTGTTTGCTTCGTCTGCTGCAACCCCCAGCGCCCCAAAATGAACAAACAGACTCCAAGTAATGCATGCACAGGCTTGCTGCTGCTGCTGCTGCTGCTGTTGCTGCTGCTGCTGCAGCTAGCATTTAAATGAGTATCTAAAGAGCATTGTTCTGCTTCATTAAACAAATGCAACACTGAAGAAGAAGCAAAAAATAAATATCTCAGCGCCGATACCTCCGCCTTCACCGTACAAACAAAATTAAAAAAATTGCGCTCCAAACTAAAACGCAACACGCATCGCAGCAGCAGCAGCAGCAGCAGCAGCAGCAGCAGCAGCAGCAGCAGCAGCAGCATAATGACTGCTGGGAGAAGACGCGAAGAAAGATCTGCAAGAACATATTATAAAGCAATTTACAAGAACAAACAAACACAAAAAATAGATTTAAATAAACACAAACAAATATTTTTAAAAATGTTTTTATAAATATTTACAAAAATATATAAATAAACAAAAAAATAAAAATAGTAAAATTAAACATATGCAAAGACAAAAAGAAATAAATAAATAAATAAATAAATAAATAAATAAATAAATAAATAAATAAATAAATAAATAAGATATAAGTACTTGTCTTTATCTTGGCTGTCTTCTGAAGACAGCAAACCTAATGTTAATCTCCGCAGCTGCCCATACACCCGAAGACAAATGCCTTCGAGAAGCTGCAGCAACAAACACACACGCATGCATGCATGCATGCATGCATGTGTGCATGTATGCTTTTGCTGCTGCTGCTGCTGTTGGTGCTACTGTTGCTGCAAATGCCCCTGCTGCTGCTGTTGCTCCTGTTTTCGTTCCGCCTTTTGCTGCTCTTGCTGCTACTGCTGTTGCTGCTGCTGTTGCTGCTGTTGCTGCTGCTGTTGCTGCTAGTCCTGCTGCTGCTGCTGCTGCTGCTTCTGCTGCTGCTGCTGCTGCTGCTGCTGCACGTCTTATGTTTGTCTGCTGATTTATTCTTTTAATTGTCCTGTATTTACTCACCAAAGAAGAAGGGCCTTGCTTCTGCAGCATTAGCAGCTGCTGCTGCTGCTGTTGATGCTGCTGCTGCTGCTGCTGCTGCTCCTTCATAGGCAGAGCCACTCCGTCGCAGCCCAAAGCTGCTAGCAGCAGCACTTGCTTCTGTTGCTGCTGCTGATTGCATGCGGCCCCGGTTTTATAGCAGTAATCCTCCACCGCCTGCAGCAGCAAAACAGCAGCAGCAACCCCACCCTTTAAACACACATTGAGGAGACCTCAGCAGCAGCAGCAACTGCAGCAGCAGCAAACGCATGCATCCATTGCTAGCTGCAGCAGCAAACGTAGGCGCCGCGCACTTAACGCAAAGTCTCATCTCCTGAAGCAGCAGCAGCAGCAGCAGCAACAGCAGCAGCATCAGCAATAGCAGCAGCAACAGCAGCAGCAGCAGCTCCAACAACTGCGGCAACCGCAGCAGCAGCAGCAGCACCAACAGCAGCAGCCACAGCAATGGCAGCAGCAGCAGCAGTAGCAGCAACAGCAGCAAAAGGAAGCAGCAGCAGCTGCTGCTGCTGCATGGCGTACTCGATACAGGTTATCGCTGGGCCCCACAGCAGCAGCAGCAGCAACCAGACGGGATAACTTGAACGCTTCATAGGTCTCTTGTTGTTGTTGCTGCTGCTGCTGCTGCTGTTGCTGCTGTTCTTGCGATATCCCATCCTGCCCCGCCAGCTGTAGACTGCTTTGTTGCTGCTGCTGCAGTTGCTGCTGCAGTTGCTGCTGCACCGCAGCAGCGAACGTATCAACAGAAGGAAAAGCAGCGAGCAGCAGCTGCAGCAGCGCAGGCCTTTCCCTTTTGTTTGCAGCCTCCCCCCTGCTGCTGCTGCTGCTGCTGCTGCTGCTGCTGCTGCTGCTGCTGCAGTATGCTGCTGCCTGCTGCAGCTGGGTAAGGAAGAACCCCTGGGGCAAACAAGTAAAAAGAAAGCCGAAGAAAGACAAACTGCTGCAGCAGAAAACTGCATGCAGCGACAATACCCGCAGCAGCAACTCATAGAGGCCCCCTCTAACATTGTGAGGCTGAGTAGAGACGCAGTACAGCAGCTGCTTCAAACAACACAAAAACAATTGCTGATCCTGCTGCTGCTGCTGCTGCTGTTGCTGTTGCTGTTGCTGCTGCTGCTGCTGCTGCTGCTGTTGCTGCTGCTCCTGCTGCTGCTGCTGTTGCTGCTGCTGCGTGAGTAGGTAGTGTTCTGGTAGCAGCAGGGCCTCTAAGAAGACGCGCATTGAGGTGTATGTGCAGCTGCACTGCCCCACAGCTTGAAGATAAGACGCTACACAGCGAGAACGAGCAAACACCAACTGCTGCTGCTGTTGCTGCTGCTGCTGCTGCTGTGGCTGCTGCTGCTGCTGCTGCTGCAGTTGTGTTTCAAGGATGAGTTTGTGCAGTATGAATGTCTTTACTGCTTTTTCTGCTTCAATGCAGCTCGGCCCTCTACTGAAGAAGAAAGAAGAAGACAGAGACGGCAGAAACACCCGAAGCACAAAGTCAGAAGAGACGCTCAGCAGCAAATTGATCTTGCTGCTGCTGCTGCTGCTGCTGCTGCTGCTGCTGCTGTTGATGCTGCTGTGGCTGCTGTTGCTGCTGGTGCTAGTAGTGATGGCGGTGCTGTTGCTGTTGCTGTTGTTGTTGCTGCTGCTGCAGCTGCTGCTGTGGGGTGTATCAGCGCAGCAAATGTTTAAATAGCAAAGCAGCAAACCTCTTCTCAGCAGCGCGTTGTCGTGAGTAAAGCCACGGAGCAGCAGCAACTCCACCCATAAAGGCTGCACAACCAGAGGATTTGCTGCTGCTGCTGCTGCTGCTGCTGGTGCTGCTGCTGCTGCTGCTGCTGCCTTTGCAGCGAGAGAGCAGAGGCGCTTCAGTGTTTGCTGCTGCTCTTCAATTAAGTGCTGCGAGAATTCTTCAAGAGAGTCAAGCACTGTAGTAAAACAACTCCAAGCACCTCGCTGCTCTGCTGCTGTCACGTGCTGCTGCTGCTGCAGCAGCAGCAGCAGCTGCTGCTGGTGTTGGTCCTGCAGCAGCTGCAGCAGCTGCCTGGCGTTGCTGCGCACTGTGCTCAAAGAGGGGCAGACGAGGGCCCAGCACAGCCAACGCCATCGAATATCTCCTAAACTCCAACTCTGCTGCTGCTGCTGCTGCTGCTGCTGCTGTTGCTGCTGCGGCTGCAGCAGCAGCAGCAGCACTTGCTCTGCTTCTTCTGGAGAAGCAGCAGGGGTTTGCTCGCAAGAAAGAAATAAGTTACTGTAGCAGCAAGCTAAGTTTAGAGCTTCAGCAGCACGGCGAGGAGGGGGCCCCAGCTGCAGCATCTTAAACACCTCCGCACTTATGCTGCTGCTGCTGCTGCTGCTGTTGTTGCTGCTGCTGTTGCTGCTGCTGCTATATGCAGGTGTAAGAGGAGCGAGGAGGTGATGAATAACAGCAAATATGAAGGCAGCGCCTACTTTAGAGTCAACGTGCTGCAGCAGCAAAGGAAGCAGCTGCTGCTGCGCTTCTGCAGCAAGAGGCCTCAGCGCTTCTGAGGTCAGCAGCTGCAGCAGCAGCTGCAGCACTCGCAGGGAGAAGTTCTTAGCAGCAGCCTGTTGAGCGAATGCACATAGCAGCAGCAGCAACAAACAAAAACATGCAGCCACAAACAAACAACTGCAGCAAGCAACCGCAGCAACAGCAGCAACAGCAGCAACAGCAACAGCAGCAGCAGCAGCAGCAGCAGACTTCAAAGACGATTCAACGTCTACAATAGACACAGCCACAAACGACAAACAAAAAGACAGCAAAGACGCGGTGTATCAATATACTAATAAATGCATATATATATATATATATATA